GACGACCCTCTTCATCCACTACACCCTGATCTATCGTCTTGTCGTTCCCATCCGTCCACACGCTCCTCATTTCGACAGCTACCCTCTCGCATTAACGTTTATAAAAATTCTTCTNTACCTGGCCCGACTACTCACCAAAAAGAACAGGTCTCAAATGAACTACGTCAAATGCTTTGTTCATGATACGTACATCACTGACCTTGTTTACCTTTTGTTTTGATTATTTTTATTTTATTCTGTGCTACGAACAATGTATATTTCTAACTGAAATGTAAGCATATATGCTTACAAAAGTTACAAATACAATACAATACAATACAATACAATACAAAAGTATAAAAGAGTATGCGCATCATCCATGCGTGGGTTCGATCCCACGAAGGCTACTGAGCTTTTCACAATTTCAATATGAAAAAGAACTCTCTGATGATAATACTTATATTCTTCAAGATCATATTGTTTTACCAAACATACTATTGGATCATTTTAGGCGACTTTGGTTACGTGTTTGGATAAAGAAACAGAAGATCAGAGAACATTTCATTTTCTCGACGTAAACCTCAAGCAGAGGGCAAATGGAAATATAAGTCGCTCGATTTACCAGAAGCTACTGTGGAACCGTAAAGTACATCCGCTTTCGCACTTTCCTTGCCAACAACCATAAACGCAATGTATGCATTTATGGACACACAGGGTCAGTGCAGGAAGACATAGGGTCCCTCTAATTAAAGTAGTTTCAATCACAGATGTGCTCGTACAGCTCCTCTTCAGGGGAGATTCGAATACTCATTGATAGAGAAGACGATTGGATCAACCAATCACACGAGGGTATTCAGCCACTACACCGCGTGCTACGTTTACAAGCCCACTAAACCTCTGCAAAAACCTGAATAATAACCTGTTTATCCTCTCCCCATCCATTATCAATTATTTCTTTCCTCGCGCTTGCTCCACAAGTTATGTAGGATGAACTACGGGACGGTTTTCATGAAGGATCAGAGAACACACATTGACCAAATTAATCAGAGGTTGCAAAAAAGGACAACCGGCTATTGTGACCTAACTTGCTAATGCCGATCACCAGGTAGATAAAAATACATTTAAATTCATCAACAGGGGGTCAACAACAGGTCAAAGAATGCTCGGCAACGTCGCTTGGCTAGGGCAGAAGCGGTCCCAATAATACTCATGACGCAAGCACTGTGTAGATAAGAGAAAATGGTTGACGCACGCTAGCTACCTTGGTCACGTCCCAACCTATGTGAACAACCGAAAGAACCTTATTCAAGTTGTAATGATAGATCATACCTTGCGCGCGAATACAGGTCATCGAAAACTTTCAGAAGTAACTTCGGTCCTCTGCTCGTCTCCATGTGTTGTTCTAGAACTTGTCAGACGATGTGGTTCTTCAATATTGGGTCCAGTGAACCGAAAACTTTCTTTGTGATCCCGTTTGTAAACGCAGCTATAAATGGCCAAATACGAATTTCTAAAAATAGCTTGAATATCCATGCTTTGTTCTTCAAGAATCAAGACTGATCGACAATGTTGACATCATTCCCGAATTTGTTACAATTGACGCACTGAGTAAAATTTTCGTTTCCTGACATTATTTGAATGAAAACATGAAATTCCAGTTCTGTTTCTACCCAGCATAAGTTTGGATAAAGTGAAAAGGAATAGATTATTGTAGTTTATTGTTGATTCTTAGTTTGTTATGTCATAAAGACTGCACCTTTCACAATGCGTCGGCCACCGCGTAGAATGAGCAGAACCGGGCTGCCCATGGCATCGAGCGGGATTCTATAGGATCTAACCTCTGGTACCAATGGGAAACGCAAATCCAGGATCCAAGTACCATAAATCAATTAGGCGCGTGGGCTTTGTCTTCCAGGCAATTCCTCCGCACTTCACTGGACGACGAAGCTCGCTCACTAGGTCCACGTTGCGTAGGCGTTGCACCCGCTGATACAGCTGAAGCATCACTAATCGATTGGATTCCGGTCAACAGTCGTTTATGTGCGATGCTTCTCCAGGGTTCAATCAGCGTCCTGAATGGAAGCAACAAAATGTGTTTATTCACCATCTCAGCTTAAGCATCGACCAGCTGCAGTTCTGACGCTCAAAAAGACGAGTTCTAGACAAACTCATTAAACTGATTCGGTGCAGTCGAAGCTAAAATGCAGTTCTGCTTGCAGGTGGTTTTACCGCGCAGGTTGGACAACTGAGAGCACCGGAAGCTTGCCTAGGCGATAATTGTCTTCTATCTTACCAGCGACGAAATAACGGCGATCGAAAGCATCAGTTCTGCACAAACCAGCATCTGTTCCTGTGCCCTACCAACGTCTTATACAGCTCTCAGCGAACAGCAACGTGGCACTCTAATTCACCTGGTGCACTAACTCAAATGGACCACATAGCAGTAAATTACCGTTACCATGACTCAGTGGTCCCTTTGGACCACTTATGTTAAGTTTTATCACGCGGCAGTTTAGATGCACTTCACTCTTCGACACACTGGTGGCTGACAAAACCAGCAAACGCGATTTGTACATTCTCGTTTATTTGACCCAGCAGTTCGTTGAATTACAATTAGAGCATTAGCTAAATGCACTTCAGCATGATGGGGTAGATGAGCAGTGCGCTCCGCGGCGAGTTCTGCTTGTGGATCGGAGCCTTACGGACATCCGAAGCATTGGATATCTCACGACAAACCTCAACCATTCAGGATCGAAGCCAATGTGGGTGATATCTGTCCCGACGCTTCACGAATAGCCTTAAATGAGACTGTGATAACCGATGGGCAACAACGGATAGCGAAATGGAATTAACATCACAGGCATAGTCGAAAACTGTTCCAACTGATAATCAAAATGGGTTGGCAAACCCCAGTTAGTGAAACAATTGGCGACAAAAGTGGGCATGCTATTCGCAATTTAAAACAACGGCTTTACCGGTGGGTCAAATATTTCCATGAACATTTCAGCTGACCTGGTGCTAACCGGATTATCTCATATGTTAAAACTGATGCTCCGAGGGCAGTCATTTGAAACCCCACAGAAGTAGAAGTAAGCTTTTTCATTCAAGCCCTGAAAAAATAGAGGAAAGCAGCAGTACCTAACAGGCTTCATACAGCTCTTTTCAAGATGGCGGGGGCTATCCCCAAAGAATCCAATATTCATTTACTGCGTAATATCTAGTCACAAGAGCGCATTTCATCAGCCTGGAGTGAATCATTGATCGTTCTAATTTTCAAGATGAGATCTTGTGGGCAGCTGATCAGACCGTTTTTCTTTCTCCATTTACACGATTTAGTTGCAGGCGAGGTCTGTGGCCCGTAACACGCTCGCAATATGGGTTGTACTATATCGTGTAAACTGAAAATGAATAACGATCTGTTTGGCTGCCTGATGGTGGAGTGGGTACTATGCTTGCGTTCTGCCCAAGAGGTCCCGACTTCGACCCCCAGTTGGGTAGATAAATTCGCATTGTTGGTGAAACCCAAACAGGTAGTACCAACTGTCCAATGCTTCCTAGATTTTCAGTTCGCGCTTCATTTGTTATATAGCGTGAAATAAGTTTGATCCAAACCGTCACCGAAGTATCATCCTCCGTCATACTTCAACATCTGACGCCCTTCAATCAAAGAAATATCCATTAACAGCAAATATGATTCCGACCACATCGTGGTCAGGTTGCGTACCTTAGACCCGAGCAGCGTACACAATACTGAAACAGCTATGGCAAAGGCGGGACGTTTCACTGAAGTTGGGAAGTCACACATTCTGCCCCTCTGTACAATCATTTCTGCATTACGGTTTTGAGATCTTGAATTTGCGGACTGAAAGCATTCATGACCAGTAGGATTTTACCAATTGATTCTTAAGTTTTCTAGTTCCAAAGGATTCTGTTAATGGTCGGTTGGAGACACTGAAGATGTGGCGGATAACCGACAACAGTGAAGTTCTTGCTGTCACTTCTTATCGGATCAGTATGCTTGAAAAGTGCATGCACAACTGGACTGTGTACTCTGTGTTGACCAGAATGCTGCACTTTCTTTCCCCCTCCCCGAAAATGGACCCAGCCTCTAACCACCTTACCTATGCTTACCTACGTCTTATGCACTGTTATTTCAGCAGCAATCATTGAACTTCTCTCAACTGTACTACGCTGTTCGATGATGACGATGATCGTGCAAATTTTTACAACGGAGCGTGGAGGACAGTGTAACAAAAGCCCGATAGTTCTCACCAGAATAAAATATGTGCAATTTTAGAATACCGTTGATGTCTGGCAAGCTGTTGGGCTCTAGTTTGGTTATTTTTGGCGGTGAGCTCGTCGAATCGACTGGTTCTCGTGTTCGAATTAAATCCCTTTGTTTTTGATGGATAGGAATAGGTGTGCATTCCTAACAATAGTGTAGCAAGGGTTATTCGATAATAAACAGTAACTCTTCTACATTAAACATTTTGCAGATGATTTTGGAATCAGCTGAAGAAGTAACCATCAGCCAGGTGAGAGTCGACTTTACTTAGTTCCATTCCATTTGATAATTAATTGATTAAATTAACTGAACCCTAGGCCCTTAATTCAAACTGTTAACGGGTTTGTCTCCTCCCACGTTAGAATGCTAGTGGCTTGTAGCTGGCAGTTAAATATCAATGTTGTTGATAATGTTTCAATCGGGCTAATTGTATGCTCGTCTCCCATCTCTCCTAATCATGCACAAACGAGGCAGTACATATAATCAGGCAAACACATGGATAAAGAAGAACCACAGTGTGACAAGACAGGATAGTTCATGAAAATAAGAGAACCGGTAGGTACTGTTGAGTTTTCTACAATAATTTACACTTTGGAAGAGGCTTTCAGGAGTTAGACTTGATGATGACTGTCGATGTTTGAATTAAAACCAAGAGAGAAAGGATTTCACAGTGATACACAACCCACCACAAACGTCATCACCATCACGAATCAAATAAACAGCGACAAAGAATTTACTAAGTGGATGCGAGACTTTTCAATAGGGTGATGGGATCCATATTGCGTAACGGTCCAAAAGATGGATCCATTTGAACTCGCGTGGATCGAAGCATCTCGAAATAAGACCATACAAACGCTGGAGTGGTCTGAACGAAACAGAGGAAAAGAAGAAAACGACTTATCAGAGAAAGAAATTCCCAATTTCCTTCATGTAAGTTAAACTTTTCGATTGTGACATGAAACAAGTCAGTGAACGTTTAGGAACAATTCACTCGAATTGTTTGAAGTAATGGTTCGGTCTCAATCAACACGGTGTTTGTCAAAAAAGCTGCTGCTAGCAAGATAGGCGATAACTGCACAATAATGCAAATAATGATGTCATATCAGTTTGATAACCGCCTTCAGTTATGACATGTCCAAATAGAAGGGAGATATTGGAATCAGGTCAGTCTCATAATCATACTCACGTAAAACGCCACTAGATAAAAAGAAGCACTCGTTGTTAGAAACTTGTCTGGTGATCAATGATCTCTAATGTAATCACCAGATAAAGTGAAAATACACGGAGCAGTGTATATTTCCGGCGACAAGTTCTGGAACCATGTTACCCTTCTTATTTTGCTTTCAGCATTCACTTCGACAAAATACACCACTCCGGCGTACATTTTGATGACATAACGGCGCTTACCAGCTAGATCATACGCGCTAACAACCAGCGGATTTTATTTTGGAGCATGCGGTCTATTTCTCCTCTAAAGTAGCCCTCAAACATCCTAAAACTTATTATTTCCATCCATGGACCACCTTTTTTCCAAATTGCTCCAAAAATGATCAGCTTAATTGCGATCGAGTGATTGCGGGCGGCCACCTTTGAACCGTAATGGACATCAGATCTGCATGCGTGTGTGGAGAATGTAAAGACAAGCGTGTTATTATCCAGACAAATTGATTTGTTAGTTCTATTCGAAGTGGAAAAATATGAGTCCTATTTAAACTTTCTCGTTACGTAGGTCATTCAGAAATACCAAGTGGTCTCGATTCCCTTCTCCCCCTCCGCAGATGGGTATAGACACCCGCAGAGTTACTTCTGTCCTAATGTAGCGCGCATACATGAATAAAAATGTTCAGCATATCCACATTTTGCACTAACGGCAGAGGAGTCAAAGTGATGTACCCCTAAGACGATCGTTTAGTGACTGAAGCCCGGAACTCAGAGTAGAGTGGTAGATCAAATGGATGATTTTCAAATGGAGAAAGAGCAAAAAATGGCGGCGAATCCAACACATGAATTTAGTTATTAAGTGTAGGGCCGGTGTGGGATTTTTCTGGAATGGGAGATGAGTTGAGGTGGAGAAGCATCAAAGGCGGACTAAAAAAATCATCTTTGCGGAACACGAGAAAAAAGGGGATTTAATAGGGGACTAGTTGTTGTGTCTTGCCGAACTATCACCGAACCTGGTCTTACGATACGTATCCCAACGATTTCAGTAAAAAGACAGTTGGAAAACAGTGTGAGCCTTTATTGGTTCCGCCAGCCAAACGTGGTCGTGGTCAAGTAAGGAAAACAAAACGTG